GCTGATTCTGTAAATCCTGTACATCAGGTTATGAGCCCAAGCCGGGCTGCGCCACCCCTGGCGAATGGGCTTCCTGTGGGCTCAGGAAGCAAGGAGGTGGAGACCGGAGCGGTTCAATCAGGTCTACCCTTGACGGGTGGATCTGATCGGCCGCAAAGCGATATAGACACTACGGCGGAGGGTGAAAAAGGCGGTGGAGGAGCTGATGACGTTCCGGGTCCATCGTCCACGAGAACCGCAGTAGCCAATCAAGATGATCGTGGTGAAAGTGGTGAGGTAGCTGCATCGGAGATGACTGGACTGCAAGGACTACAGGCTCGTGCCGACACGTCTGACCAAGTTGGACCAAGCAGAGTGATGTCAGCTGCGGGGCCAACAGCTCCGATGGAGGTGGATTCCCATGGCGACTCGGCACCTGGTGCTGAGCTGGGATCTTACCATACGCCGAGGTCAGCAAGATCGATGAGGGGCTCCACAATGGGGCCGAGGAACGTGCAGTCTGGAATGTGGCCGGGCTGGGTAAACAAACTGGGCGAGATCTTCAAGGCTCCTTCTGTGCAGTGGCTACCGAGTCCTATGCCATCACCACCGAGACCTGGAAGAGTTTTCGGACCACCGGTGCAAGCAATGGCGGCGCCTATGACCTATTCGTCGGTGCAGGTGGGACCTTGGCCAAATGCAGGAGATGATGGTAGGGGTTTAGGCCCTAATAACCATAACACACCAAGCAGTAGCAGCCTACCAGCAGAAGCGATTCAAGCCGAAGTTCAACGCCAGCTGGGGAGCTTGCTCGATAGACTACAACAAGCAGAGAGCGAGAACCAAAGGTTGCAGGACCAGCTCCTACGTGCCCAGACGCCGGTTCCGGCGAAAGCTTCTCCTGGCGATAGCAATCGAGGAGTACCTAGAGAAGATCCAGCTACAGCTGCAGCGCATGAAGAAGTACCTAGAGGGGATCCAGATTCAGGGGGAGGAGGTCGTCCAAATCCATGGCGCGATCCACTTGGAGCTTTGTGGGATGAATTAACGTCGGGAAGATCAGCTCAGCCTGCTATCCAAAGAACACCAGAGCGAGCTCGAGCAGAAGATCCTCCTGCTGGCACCGAGACTTCTTCCACAGCTGTTATCTTAGAGGCTCTCACCCGGAATCTGACCAGTCTGCAGCAGCTACAAGAGAAAGCCCTTAAGAAGGATATCGATGGCGATGATGCTCCAGAGCAGGTGAAAAGTACAACGATAGCCCTTCCTGCTCTTTCTGTGCCCGAAGGGAGTGCGATGGGAATCTTGCTTCAGGACTGGCTGGCGCAAGTGGCTGTGCCGATGCAGGATCTGTCTGCATCCTCTGGTGGATGGTGGTCTCAAGTGCTGGAACTGGTGCAAGCAACATATGCCACGTGGTTATCTGCGTCACCGATAGAGCGTCTTCAGCTGGAGCCTAGGGGCCACGAGGACCTTACCAAGGGGAAGTGGACAAGGGTGAATGCGAGGGCATGTTCGCTGATGCTACAAGCGCTCCCAGAGGGAGTGAAGCACGATCTGATCTCCAGGAGAATCGTGCAAAGCTCTCCGCTGATACTGTTCCGTCTTCATACAACCTACCAGCCTGGCGGAGCGTCCGAGCGGTCAACTGTCTTGAACAATCTACAGCATGCTGGACAGTTTGAGACAATGGAGGAGTGCATGGTGTGGCTGCGTGCTTGGCCAAGGTGGATACAGCGATGCAAGGATCTAAAGATGATGGTGCCGGATGGGTCAGTATTGGCGCGATCGCTAACCAGTACAACTTCGAAGTTCCTTATGGACAACATGGACGCGCAATTTCGTACCCAGTTGTTACGCTCAAGCCTCCGTATTGACTCACAGCCATCGCAAGCAGACGTGTCAAGGTACCAACAGCATCTGCAGGCAGAGATCGAGGCGCTGATTGCATCAAAGCCCAGTCATCTCAGCATTCCTGCTCGGGTAAAGGCTATGGGAGCTACATCTACGCCGGGTTCGCCGACTTCAGCTGGAGCTTCAGGGGGAGGGAAGAGCTTGTGCAAATACTTCTTTAGATCAAGTGGATGCCGACGAGGAGCAAAGTGTCCTTTTAGCCACGACATGCAACACCTTTCGAAGGCGGAGCGAGCTAAGCGATGCTTGGTGTGCGGCGGAGAGGATCATCGTCAGAGGGAGTGCCCCACGAAGGTTCAAAGGCCGAACACAAGGACGAGCCCCACAGGAGGAGGTGCTGCAGGACAGAGATCCACTGAGGCACCTGCGGTTGCAGTTGCTAAAGTTGAGCCCGAAGGGGAGGTGTCGCCATCTTCTACAACTGCGGCGGTGGTTTCTGGAGAGCCAGTTTGGACCTTGGAGACACTACTGCAAGCGGCAGCTAAGGTTGCAGGAGCTTCACCGGCTAGTGGTCCCTCGATCAACGTGGTGTCACTCAAAGCACACTATCCACTTGTCGGAGATGGACAGACTCTTGCCTTGGTTGATTCGGGCGCCACTCATGCTCTACGACAAGCTCGATCTGAGGCTGAATGGCAGCAGGCAAGTCCAGTGGTGGTGAATCTGGCTGGTGGGGAGTCAATCAGCCTGAGGATGAATGAAGCAGGCACCATACTGGTACCTACGGCTTCCTCTACCACGGCCAGTTCCTCAGCTCCAATTGTGCCGCTGGGGGCATTGGTTGGACAGTTGGGCTACACTATGACGTGGAGTAGTAACCGCTGCAAGCTGGAAGGGCGAGATGGCGATGCATACAATCTACGAGTAAGAGAAGGTTGTCCTGAGATAGCGGAGCAAGATGCGCTTCGGTTGATTGCCCGCTTGGAAGATGACAACTTAGAGCTGCTGCGTAGCAATACTGTGGCAACTAGGAGACGAGTGAAAGCGGCTGCATTAGCAATGGAGCGAACATGGTTTGACTATTTGATGTCGTATGTGGATGGAGCAATGGCATCAGAAGCACTAAAGGCGATTGAAAGCGCGCCTTTCTTACAGGAAGTACCGAAGCCTTGCAAAGCTGGACTGGTGGAGTCGTTTCCAGAAGCGAATGGCTGGGAGTCCCTAAAGGGCTTAGAGCATCTCAACCGGAGAACCAGGAAGCGCTTATGGAACTCAGATAAGTGGCTGGTGCACTTGTTCTGTGGGAAGCAGGAGAAGAAGGACCTGCAATACCTGGAAGGCCATGGCTACGCTGTCTTAGAGCTGGACATAGAGCGAGGTCGCACCCAGGACATCCTGCGCCCTTCGGTTTGGCGCGCCCTGGAATATGCAGCGCGCCTGGGAAAGATAGCAGCCATTGTTGGTGGACCCCCGCAGTCTACATTCATGATTTCAAGGCATGTTCCAGGAGGCCCAGAACCTGTTCGGTCACCGGAGTTTCTCTATGGTGGTTGGCCTGGACAGCCAGATATGGATGTGTACAAAGCCAATAGGGAGACCCAGCTGCTAACACGCATGATCTACTTGCACGCTTTATCTACGGCAGGAAGGCTGAGATCTTTTACAGGAGCAGCGGCATCAAAAGAGGTGGCGTTTCTACTGGAGCATCCTCGGGATCCGAGAAGCTATTTGCAATATGGAGATCCTTTGCACTCTGATGTGGTTAGCCTTTGGAGGACATCACTTTGGACAGAATATGCAATGGAAGCAGGGCTCAACTCTTACAGCTTTGATATGGCTGCGTTTGGCAAGGCGTTCACTCGTCATACAACAGTGGGGACTAACCTGCAGCTGAAGCACTTGGATGGCTTGCGAGCGAGGTGGCATGCGGGCATGTCGGAGCCTGATAGGGCCCCAGCTTGCGTGTGGCCAAAGGAGTTCTACGAGCACCTGGTGATTGCGCTGCGTGGCTGGGGTGTTACGCCCAGGATGGTTCGCATGAGTGCGGATCAGTGGAGAGAACATGTTCGTCGAGGTCATCTCCCATTTCGTCCTGACTGCGCAGTATGTGTTCAGGCAGGTGCTACAGGGAGAAGACATGCTCGGATTGAGCATCCGTCAGCTTTTGTCCTATCGGCTGATCTAGCTGGTCCAGTGAAGATAGGGGGACTAGATCCGGATGCGCGAGGAGCCTACCCAAAGCCCTACAAGTACATCTTTGTCGCCAAGCTTCGTGTCCCCAAGACTTTCGTTGAGGATGGTCGGGGGGCGTGGGTGGACTATGACACTGGGGAGCTTGAGGAGGATAAGTATGAAGACCAAGATGATGGACTGTCAATAGAGGGCGGAAGGGAAAAGGAGGTGATTCGTCCCAAGCCAGTTGATGATGGTGATGAAGGCGATGAAGACCAGGAGGAGCCCGCTAAGAAAAAGGACCCGGAGGAAGATCTAGATCTTGCGGCCCCTGAGCTGGTGAACTTGATCTTTGCTGCTGGCATAAAGGATGATAAGGCCCCAACAGTGCTGGAGGCGATCCAGGATGTCATTCTCTATTGCCAAGCTCTTAACATACCTGTTCTACGCTTTCATTCGGATCGTGGGATGGAGTTTCAGGCAAGGGCTTCCAAGCAATGGTTAAAGAGCCAAGGGATCAGAGTTACGACGTCCGAAGCAGGTGATCATCGTACAAATGGTGCAGCTGAATCGACGGTGAGATGGATAAAACAAAGGGCGAGAACGCTACTATTGTCAGCCAAATTGCCGCAACAGCTATGGCCCATGGCAGCGTCTACAGCAGCTACAATGCAGAGAGCGGAGGTGTTGGGTTTTGAGCCAGTGCTTGCGGCGCCGTTTGGAACAAAGGTCACTGTGAGAAAGCGGCAACTTGAGGGACCAAAGCTTGATGATCTAGCCCCGAGGTGGATTACAGGAACTTACGTTGGCAAATCAGACAGCCTGCACAAAGGGCATCTGGTGTATGTCAAGGACGATGGTGGAGAAAGGTTTGTGCATACTCTTCATGTTCGAAGTTCTCTACATGACCCTGGACCGGTTGAAGGGGAACTGTTTGCGGATGAGCCTGAAGGTCCCAGGAGGAGGTTGAGAGGCAAGTCAGCTGGCAGTGGTGATGTAGTGGTGGTTACGAAGTTGGAGGTGGACAAGGAAAATGAGTTAAAACATCGTGCTGAAGCGGTTCTACAGACGTGGTCTCAGGAGGAGGCGGAAGACATCGTGAAAGCAGTATGTGCGGTACTAGCTCCTTCGGAGAATGTCTATGGGATGTTTCGCTTTGGTGGAAAGACGGGAATCACTAGAGCCACTGTTGAACGACCATGGCTAGCAAAGGTCTTGCTGAAGTTGATGGTGGAGAGGGCTCCTGAAGCTGAGTTTGCGGCGATCTTTGTTTCTGTCAACAATGAGAGGGAAGTTCATATAGATCGCAATAATGCTTTTGGCACCCTCAACTACCTACTTCCACTTGTTATGCCAAGACGAGGAGGAGAAATTTGGCAGGAGCTACGACCCGGAGATGTGGTGCAAGGTCGAGTTCTTGAGCTGCAGTCACCAGATGGTCGTACAAGGTATGGGTGCTCGTATCCGCTACAAGAGGGCAGCGTGTTTCAGTTGAACCCACATCGACGTCATGCCGTTCTACCTTGGACTGGGGACAGGCTGGTAATTGTGGGGTACACACCAGGAACTCTGCAGAACCTTAGCTCAGTGGACAGAGAGCATCTATGGACACTGGGATTTCCTATGCCAATCTATGATGAAGGTACAGGTGCAATCATCAGTATAAATACATTTACAGTGCAGACTTCGGATGTGGAAAAGGACATCGTCGTTGAGTACCATTCATCGGATTTACCAGATAGCACCTATGACTTGAAGGGTCCAGAAGGAAGCATGTCTTTATCTACTACGAGCGCACAGACGTCAGGTAGTGAGATTCAGGGTGTCAATGAAGAGTGGTCACACTGGGACATGTGCTTGGTGCTGGATGGTACTGAAGATACAGTGATATTGGAAAGTAGCTTGGACCGAGACACGGTTCAGCTGGCTAAGGCGGAGGTGTCGTTTACTGAAGGCGTAGAGAAGATCCTCAGTGCTTTGGATGGTCCGCTAAACGTGGTACATACAGTCAACCCTCGCGAGGTCGCCATGCACTTCGAGGAATGGGCGCCGTCATTGAAAAAGGAGGTGATGTCTCTGGCGCATGCAGTTGAAAAGGTCTGGAGCAGCAATAGTCAGGTCCAGGAGGAGATATCGTCTGGGAGGGCGCAAGTTATCCCTATGAAAGCAGTTTTCACTGTTAAGCCGCCAGATCCTCCTCAAGAGGGCGAAGCAATGAGCTCCTTTTTCAAGCGCAAGTCCAGAATAGTAATTTGTGGGAATTTAGCGTCCCATCAGCCTGGTGAAGTATATACAAACACAGCTCCTGCAGAACTGGTTCGTGCAGCTTTGGCCTTTGGCCTACAAGAGTCACCGAGACTTTGGGGAATGTACCGAGATCTACATCTAGCTCAGATCCAGATTGTGCACGAGGGGAAGAGAGTTACCTTATTGCAGGGCAGAGTTGAGCCATCGTGGTGGTCAGTTCTTCAGGAAGGCTCAATTCCAATCGGCATCCTGGTGGTGTACGTCGATGATTTGTTGCTTTGTGGTCATCCTTCGGTCATACAAGAGCTGGCTTCAGCAGTAAAGGCTATTTGGAGTACCAATGATTTACAGATGCTGTCCGACGGGACAATCAGATTCCTCGGCATAGAAATCTCCAGATGTTCGCAGGGCTTTGCATTGTCCCAGAGATCATATATTGAAGAACTCGCACGTCTTCACAATCTGCCCGCCACGAGGAAGGATGTTGTGCCGGCGTCAAAAGAGCTCGCTACATTTAGCACGATGCCGGAGGAAGGCGAATATACAGAAGCTGAGTTGAAGGCGGCCCAGCAATGTGCCGGCGAGTTGCTGTGGGTCTCGCAACGGACGAGACCTGATCTGGGGTATGTGGCGTCGTTAGTCGGATCCTTATCCACAAAAGCTCCAAGGCGTGCTGTCCAGATAGCTGAAAAAACTATCGGCTTCCTTCAACGCACTATCGACCAGGTTCTGGTAATGCAGGCGGATGGATCTGGCCTTACTGGCTACTCGGATGCCAGCTTTGCTCCTGATGGTGAAAGAAGCCATTCAGGATGGATCCTATTTTTGCACGGTTGTGCTATAGCGTGGAAAAGTTCACGACAAAGCTCAATCACGCTGAGTACTGCAGAAGCGGAGCTTACCGCGATTTCGGAGGCGGTTCTGGCCTTACAGAGTGCGGCAGCAATGCTACACGATGTTCAAGCTGATGAGGTGGATATGCAACTTTATACAGATTCTACTTCTGCCCTTACGATTGCCAATGGTTCCGGGAGTTGGAGGACACGTCATTTGAGGCTACGCAGCGCATGGGTTGCAGAATTGGTGCAGGCTCAGAAAGTTCTCATCACTCACTGTGTTGGAGAGCTACAGGTTGCAGATATCCTTACAAAGGCATTGCCGTCACAAAGAATCCGGATGCTGGGTAAGTTGATGAACCTCGTCAATCCCGACGACACTGGTGAGGGCGACGGCTTGGCGATCGCTAGCATGCAAGCACACCGCGGCAGCAGCAGAGCCGATGCCCCTAATCCCTACCCTAAATTACCTGGGAAGAGGAAGGTGCTGTGACGGTCCAGTCTGGGATGAGTGTCGACTATGGTGTGGTAACGTGGGCTATACTCTGGAGTGGGGTCATCTTGGCGCTTGTAATCTGGGAGTTGCTGAAGTGGCTAGCTTGGTTGGTTTATGATAACGTAGCACCGGGCTCTAAGTCAAGGCGACTAAAGAGGTTGAGCAAGCTGAGAGATGCTACCACAGAGGCTATTCAGAAGGAAATTGAGGCCAGAGCTGGAGGACGTATAGAGCAACGAGCAAAGATCCCGCCAGCGCAACAGAGTCAGGCTCCGGTTAGAGCTTCTTCAACAGCTTTGAGCTCTTCAAGCGAAGTGCAGGCCGTCGAAGCAGGTCAGCGAGATGAGAGGATCAACCTACTTCGCCAACTTGCTTCGGGAAAGAAGGAGCATCGAGATGCGCAGTGCCAAACAAGTGCATTTACTCAGGTAGCTTCACGGGACACAAGGGTTATACTACGCTATGTTCATGAACCTCCAGGAGAAGCGTTTGTAGTCCCAAACAATGCGTGCTACCATGTTTACGCAGATTGTCATGCTTTTCGACATCGGGGTACTGCTGATCGAGTGGAGCGGCGGAGACTATGCCAATGCTGCCTGAATCGGTCTGAGGAAGATCCAGATAAGAGAGTCAATTATGGAGATGATTTGCAGCGTGCCCGGGAGTACGAGAATGTCTTCAACACACAGCTTCTTACGTCAGGACAATCTGTGAGGGATTGATCACTCCTGGCGGCGTGATAAAGGAGGAGTGAGGAAATCCAGGGCTTGCTGCTTGAGGAAATTAGAGTGTTTCGAGATCTTGTGAAGTGCACGTTTTTGGTCATGCTGGCTCCAGGGAAGGCTGCGGAAAAACGCCCCTTGGGTCGAAGCCCTGATGGTCTAAAGTAGCACCACTCTCGGCAGAAGCCAGCACACTTACACGTCTTGCAGACTTTGCACAATAGGGAGCCAATTCTTTCCGAGTGCTTTAAGCACGGTCGCAGAAGGCATCTCTTACCTTTTGTGTTGTGGAGAAAAACAGCTCGATGCGTACAGGTTGCAGCCATGGATGATGCTGATTCTGTAAATCCTGTACATCA